CGCGCTTGATTGCCGCATTCGTGCGGCGATAGAGAATGGCGACCTCATTGAGGAATGGGCCCATGACTTGGGCAGACAGGGTCGTACCGATATCCGTCGTAAGGGCATGAAGTTGCAAGGGGCTATTTAATCCATGCGTGGAAACAACTGAGCTCCAAGAGGTAGCTGAAGGCCCCTCTCGCTGAGCCTGTGTCAAAATTGGTACTTTTGTTGCTAATGCAGCAAGGGGTGCGACTAGACATGCTAGAAAGCAACGAGTGACGAGTGTTCGTGAAAGGGGAGGCGATGATGGGCCCTCCGACGGCCAAGCCCATACGGAAGGGACCCCTTTGGCGAAATCGAGGCCCAGCACAGCTGGTCGCCCCGATCTGCCACCTCCTCCACGTAGACCCGACGTCCAAGACGATCGGGCCAACGACGATGTCACTGAATCTCCATGCTCTGCCAGCGGTCAAACCGCCGCGGCAGGAGATGAGTACTCGTGGTGTTCGTCTGACATGGACACATGGGATTGGTCTAGGCCTACGCGCGCGCGAGGCGGGGCCATGGCTGCCTGGCGCGCGGCTGGCGTCTGCGACCTCTCGAGACACTACCCGCGCTACACGGCTGCGACCTCTCGAGGCACTGCCCGCGCTACACGGGTGATGTACTGGATGGATACTGGGTTCACCGTGACGTGATACACTGGATGAATCCCAGGGAGAACCGGGAACGTGTGTGGCATTTTGTGTACCTGAATGGCAACGACTACCACTTTCCGAGAAAGGAAGGAAAGGGTTCCAAGAACAAGAGCAAGAACAAGGACAAGTACAACAGGTCAGCTCCTTGCGCTGGCCGTGGCAAGGGGTGCAGATCAACTTCGCCCTACAGGGCCGCTGATCAGACGGGGGGCCCATCGTCTTCACATCCGAGACCTCCGTCTCCGCCGTCGGGGCGATGCCTTTAGCACTAGAAGTGAGAGAAGGCAAAGCGCGGGCGACAAAGTCGCCGCGGGCGAGGCCGAGCGACAAAGTCGTTTCGGCAGAGAGATTTTTTTAACTATTTGTGGGATTCGTCGGGTTTTTCCCGGCCCTCAGCTCCCTGGCAACCATCGTTGAGCGGTGAGATACTTTTGGGGTTCGCTCCGTTGGCTGTAAATACGTGCAGGCCAGGCGAGCTGTGGCTGGATGGACTCTACGAAGCCCGCCGCGGGGGGAGTAAATATGCTCCTCTCCGCCTCATACTGCACTTGCCTCTCTTGCTGCCTGCCTTGCCGCACCTAGACTCCGCGGTGCCATTCCGCAGCTATTTGTACTCAGGTGAGAAAAGGAGCGTGCTGCCGCGCGCTCGCGTCCGGGCGTCGGCCGGCCGGCCCCCTCCCTTCCTATACTTGAGTGCAGTTGCTTAACGGTTAGTTGTATTTTCATCGATGGCTCATCCCGTATCCTCTACTACTGAGCAGAGTCAACGCGAGACGTTAATTCCTTTGTCATTTTACCCCGTTTCTCAGAGGAAAGATTTTATCGGCCGGCAGCCAGCCTGCATGCGCTGTCGTGATGCTGCTGTGGAGTGGGATCAGCCCTTCCCCGTGGACACCGCGTCGGCGGCAGGCAGTGCCACCCCCGCCTGCGTATCGCCCTGTTCCACTTGACGCGGTTCATGGCGCTACCGCCAGGACGTCGCTTTGGCTTCGTGTAAGGTGGGGATTGGCGTGTTCTCTAACTTCGCTTCCGGTGCTACCTGATGACGGGCCTGGCAAGAGAGTGTTCCTGCACGAGTGGTACATCCTTCGGCAAGACGACTGCCCCCCCAGCCGGCCCGTCTCGCATTTGCCTCTGTCAGCGCTTGCAACGTCGTGCCCCCGATCTGCGAGAGTCGGATGCGTTGTGTGCGCAATGGCTACAGACTGGAAGTGGCGTTGCCTCATGTTCGCTGACCGGGTCGCCCTCCCTCCCGTGTCCAAGGGCGGGCATGCCCGAGGTCCGCGACAGTGATTCATGGTGAGTGAGGTCCCCCTCTGTGCCGCCTTCCCTTCTCTTTCTGTCGCTGGGAGCCCGTCTGGCGTCCGCAGCGGCTCTCTCGCTTTCCTCCTCGCCTCGCTTCCGTGTGTCTCGGCCGGAGTTTGGCGCCGACGGGGCGACTTCCCCGCGCTGCTACAGTTCACGTGGCTAGCCGCTCAGCTGCTGCCGTCGCTCGCTGCGTCGTGTGGTGCGACTTCTCCACGCTGGGCGCAGTTACCGCGGCGCGTCGCGGCGTGGCGTCTCCACCCGTCGGGACGTCGACATCGGTTTGCCGTGCACGATTAGGGTCATCTGTCCCTTGCACCACCTCTAATGAGGGTCATTTTGTCCTCGCGCGTGCACTCGCCTTTGCGGCTTACGCGCTGCTTTGGCCAATTAGCTACGGCATGTGCCCCAGCCGTTTATCCCGCTTCTTGACCCTTGTGTTGGAGCCGCCAACCAAAAAAACATGATGGACCCACGAACCCGGAAAGGGATATAGACATGTGGAGCATGGACACGTTTTCATGATACCCAACTGGGCAACACCTCACGAAACATCCCACGAGACACCTCACGAAACAGCCCACGAGACACCTCACGAAACATTCCACGAGACACCTCACGAAACATTTCACGAGACACCCCGCGAAACATTCCACGAGACACCCCACGAAACATTCCACGACGACAGGCAACCACTCAACCAAGGCGGTGTGGTCGTGCTGGGGAGTGGTCGTGCTGGGGTGTGGTCGTGCTGGGGGGTGGTCGTGCTGGGGGGTGGTCGTGCTGGGGGGGTGGTCGTGCTGGGGGGTGGTCGTGCTGGGGCGTGGTCGTGCTGGGGCGTGGTCGTGCTGGGGCGTGGTCGTGCTGGGGCGTGGTCGTGCTGGGGCGTGGTCGTGCTGGGGTGGGGTCGTGCTGTGGTAAGGTCGTGCTGGGGTGTGGTCGTGCTGGGGTGTGGTCTTGCTGGGGTGGGGTCGTGCTGGGGTGGGGTCCGGCTGGGGTGTGGTCGTGCTGGGGTGTGGTCGTGCTGGGGTGTGGTCGTGCTGGGGTGGGGTCGTGCTTGGGTGGGGTCGGGCTGGGGTGTGGTCGTTCTGGGGTGTGGTCGTGCTGGGGTGTGGTC